TGATCCTCTTCTCATCTCATCTTAACTTCCCTCATACCTATTATCCAAGCTGGGTGATTTGCCTGTACTCGTACCAAACCACAAAGAAGGAATAATTATATGGATCTTAAGGTTATTATATTATCCATATTCCTAAGCTATGAAGCAAAATTATTTCTATAATATATGATCTTATAAATAATGATAATATCATATTTTTCTTTAATTTTATATGGAATAAAAATTTAATCATTTTTTCAAGAAACTAAAAAAATGATTGAAGTAAGCTCAGATAGATTGATAAGCAATGATCTACAAAAGTATCGATTGGGAACATGAAATAACAACTGATAAATTCAATATAATTTTACATCATAAAGTAAGATCCATTTATATCACATTAGAAGAATTTTTTCAAAGACCAATTAAAAATATGAAATTAAATAATGACCAATAAGTTTATTATAAGAAAAACCGAAAAGAGATCCTTTATATATAAACCTAATTTGATTATGGAATTAAGACAAAAACAAATAGTAGAAGCTATAGGTTTAAAGATACTGTAAGTGGTCATCTGTTTAAGAATTAGATTAAAAATTAAATATAGAAGGTTTTTTTTATAAATTCAAAGATGATATATAATTTAAGGTTTATATTTTTTTTTACTTCAACTTTAAAACATATGCTAGTATTTTGCAAAATTGTCTTTTAAAGTAAGTTTATAAATGATGAATGTATATAATTTAAATAATAATGTATAAAACAAAAATTATTAAAAATAAAAAAGATCTATAATGTTTAATCAAACATAAATTTCATTTCAATATTATTCTAGATTCTAAGATAACATAAAATTAAAGACTTTTGTGTTAGGTATGCATTGATAATTTTGAATTAGACATAAATATATTGCAATAGATTTAAGAATGGAAGAAAATAAATAGTTTTAGTTGAATATTTTAGAAAATCCAATTATAGCCAATATTAAATACGTTTAATCATTCTAAATTTTTATCAATAATTTTAAATCTATTATTCTTTATTAAGCAGATCGATTAATTAACATTCACAGTTAACTTAACAATAAATTAAATAATTTAACATCTTAAATTATTTTGTTCTAAATCCATCTATATGATTATTTGATTTTTATTCATTTTAGCAACAATTAATTTCTTTAAAAGAAGCAATTAGATCAGCAAGATTACTAAATTATATATACACTGCCTTGACATTAAAAGAATATAACCTACTTAAGTTCAATTCTTCTTGTATAGCTATCTAATATTTGCTTGGAGTAGCACTAAAGAAAGTATTTATTTTCATGTCGCACTATATTTGAATTTCATAATTGATTAACTAGACAAATAAAATTGATTTGTTTATAAATCTTTGACATAAAGTTGGATAAGAATAAGAAATAAGCTTTAAATTATTGACTAAGATGTTTTAATGATATAGCAATTTTTAACCAAATAATAATTAAAAAAGTATAAATTGATATTGTTGTTCATGCATATAGTATTAGTTAAGACTTTTTTAGTTTGAAATTGATTAAATATGCTTATTTTAATTGTTTTTTAAGAATAAAATTCAATTTTAGTGAACATTATACAAATAATATCAAATACTTTAAGGATAACAAATTGATAATGAGCTGAATTTAATACTAAGATTAAAATACTTAAATTAAATCAGGAGGAAGTAGAATAGAAGATTGAAGTATATAGGATGAAATATACATAATCAATTAATGAAATGATTGACTCAAAACAAATTATATGACCAAATTCAAAAAAAGAATTTCAAATTTACTTTATATCGGAGAAGTAGAACAATAAATTTAGAAAGAAGTTGATTGAGATATACTTGAAGGATATTATATGATATTAAATGGTTATCAAAAAACAAGAATTTTGGATAATAAATAGAATTTTAATTAAATATATAATTAGAAAATTATTTTTTACTATTATCATATATTAAGATTTCTATAATATTAATTAACTCTACTGCATTTATTTTTTTTAAAGTTTATTTCTAGTATCTGCAAATGAATAAGTTAGTCAAATAAATTAAGATTATATGATAGAATGTATTTGAGCTTATTTTTAGTTGACCTTGAAGATCAATTTACACTAACTTTAAATATTATAAGGGATTGATAATAAATTTAAAATTGTGCTGATTTACTTTGAATACGAGATTAAATATCTATGTAATGAAAATAAATAACTAATAAAAATGAGAAAAAATATTGAATATAACATTAAAAAATATAAAATATATATAGGATTGAGATTAGGTTAACAAAAATAATGATATTATTAAGATATATCATCAAATCCAATTAGATTGGTAATTTATTGTAATTGTTGTGTCAATTTTATTTATCAATTTGTTTAGAAATAATAAAAAAAATATTTAATAAAAATATGTTATTAGAACAGTTAAAAAATAGTTTGAAATTAAAATACAATCAATAAAGAAAAATATAACTACATTATAATTCAGAATATCATTGCTGACCTGATTAACATTTATTACCAATTATATGAATCTAATTCAAAATTACTAAGGAAAGATTACTTCTTGAACTGTTATTAAGGTATTCTTTAATTTTTTAATTAATTAGCATTTCAATTATATCATATCATATTTTACTTAAAGTGATTTATATCTAATCATTTCAGTTCTTTCTTTTTACTGATAATGAAACATTCAATTATGTATCTCAAAGAAATTCATAAGTTTACAAAAAATGTTATATGTTTTAAAATCATAGTGCATATTTTAATTGCTCTAACATTGTTATTTGTTATGGTATGTCTTTTGAAAAAAGGCTTGTAAAACATCTATCTTAGATGCCTCTTTGGTTATATTAAAGATCAAATTTAGAAATAAAATACATAATGTTATTGAAGGAAAAAGAGGAAAGGTGAACAAGTGAAGGAATATAAAGATATAATATAAATTAAAAAAATAGAATACAAAAAGGTGAAAAAAGGAAGAAATTGAATGAGTGAAACTACAAAAGGATGTTTGATGTATTACCTGAAACTGAAAAAAAACTTTGATTACTATTTTAAATTACTTTCAATTAGGTCTTCATTATAAAGTGATATTAAATCTAAATTATTTCAAAATTGAATTAATCAAAACTTTTTATTTTTTAATTTCATGATTAAAATTTCACAGCTTCATTTTCAGATATTGTTTTTTTTAATTGTTTTTCTCTTTTATTCAAATTTTTCATACAATGAAACTCTCGTATAGCAACCCTAAATATCTAAGTATTATTATTTGGTTTCTTGTAAAAAACTTCAATTATCTTATAAAGTATTAATACTAATTTTTATATGATTCCAAAATTATATAGAATGTAGTTGACTATTAAATATATCAATTTAAATATAAAAACACTGTCATCAGTACTATAATTCTTTATAGCTTCAATTTCAGGAAGATTTGATAATAATCTTATTAGCAACTTTTTGTATCTCTTCAAAGGTGTCTCTACTATTCAAGTTACATTAATTCTTTTATTTTTTAATTGATAAGGTTAATTAAAATCTTCTAATTTAAGGCCCAATATAATTTACAATATAAATTTGAAGTATTTAAAAGATTAATCCAGATGAATGATAGGCAATTTTTAATTATTAGTAAATAATTCCCCTTACTTATCTTCGAAGATAGTATTGGCCTCTTCTTCATAGTATTCAAATATATTATATTTGGATTATTCGTTTTGTTCCGCAATTTTATTTTTATAAAATGAAGAATTTGTTTCGTAACTACTTATAATCATTCTTATTTAATTTAGATAGATTGCTTGTAATTCTTCGAAATTCTTAATATCTAAATTTTGCAATCTTAACTTCATTAGATCTGACCATTAAAAGTGTCTATATTAACCTCTGTTTAATTTTCTTAAGGTATAATCAATCCAAGATAATTAAATCTCTACTACTTAAGTTTTAATTAGACCAAAGCAGTTGCAACAAGCAAAACAATAGGATAACTTATTTTCTTATACAAATATTTTAGAATTTTCAACCTATGATGAGTCAATAGTATTCGTATGTTGGCCTGATTTGATTAGAAAATATACTTAAGAGTAATTCCGAAGAATCTTATCTTTCAACTTTTGCTGATTTATTTCCCATATTATAAAATATATTAATAACTAATAGAAACTAATATCTGAGTGAATGATATATTAATAAAATAGATTAAACATAATAAGTTATTATCTCTTATTATTTTTTAGTTTGAATAGATTTTAAACTAAATAATTGATATTTATAATATATTATTTATCTTTAAGTATTTCAAATGTAAAAACATATGTATAATTAAAACTAGATGATATAAATAGTTATGATATAATTAAATATGATATTTATCAATATAATTACAATAAATCAAATATCATTTTATTATTATTATGATTTAATCATTGCCATCTCGTAATAAATAATTGATCGAGTCTCCATTTGTATGGTTAAAGGAAAAAGCAGAGAGAGATAGATAAAGAACAGGGTATATATTGCATTAATATAATTTAGAGTACCTTCTAAATTATGGTATATCAAAGGTAAGATCTATGATTTATCCCAATTTCTTTAACTCCATCCAGGAGGAGATTACTTTTTATCATTGACATAAGGATAAGATATAACAGAAATGTATTATAGTCATCATTTAAACATGGAGAAATGCAATGCAATTTTACAAAAATATTATGTTAGAGATGCAGACAAGATTGATTAATATTTTGATTATGATGAAAAAGGATTCTATCTTACATTACATAAAAAAGTGAGTGATTATTTCAAAACAAGAGATAAGGGACCAACATTAATGATGAAATTAGTTGTTTTTATAGCTCTATTTTCATTCATTATTACATTCTTATTAACTTGTACATTATAAAGTTATCTATGGGCAATTATATGTGGATATACACTTTATGTGTGTTTTGGATTAGGACATAATTTTCTACATTAAGGTTCTTTTGAGCCTAGAAGATACTTAGCTGATTTATCATTCTTCTCCCATTTCCATTGGGCAATTACACATTGTATTTCTCATCATCATTTTACTAACAGTAATATTGATTTAGAAGTCACTTCCTTTGAACCCTATTATAAAACTCAGAAATCTAAACTTCCTAATAATAAATACTTTCGTTACTATATGGATGTATTTTTTGCTTTAGTAAGTACTATACAATTTTTATCCACCATATAACAACTGTTAAGAGGAGAAGAGAGAATAAGGAAAGAATACTTTATCCCAATTGTTGAATATTTAATACTATACTATTTTTGTGGGGATGCTTTGGAAGGATTTAAACTTTTTATGGTTATTTAATCCACTTCAAGTTATTTAACCCTCAAGTATTCATTAATTACTCATCATAATAACATTTGTTATACAGATGGATGTTCTATTGTCCCTTCTAGAGATTTTGGAATCTATACATTATAAACAAGTTAAGATCATGATCCATAAGTTATTTTCCCTTTTAATATGTTTATTTTTTAAGGGTTTAATTAACACACATTACATCATATGTTTCCTACTGTAGATGAATCAAGAATTCCAGAAATTCAACACTTTCTTTTGGAAACTATACAAGAATTCAAATTATAGCATATATATAAACAACGCACAGTTGGTGAATTATACAAGGCTCACAACGATTTTGTTTTTGGAAAATGATTATTTTAATTTAATATAAATTAAATATTATATTATTTATTAGCAAATAATATACCATAATTATAATTTATTAAGATGATTTGAATTAGTAAAATTATTCATATATACATTTATATTTCTTTAAATTTGATACTTTATTAACTAAAAACTATCAAAAATTTTGTTGAAAATAGATTATAGATTTATAAATATTAATCTAATTTTAATGTAAATACAACATAATAGTAATTAAGTTTTATTTTCAATAAACTTGATCTTATAATCAAAGTCAAGTTCCTCCTATTGTACTTTTTCTTATTGTAGACTTGAGGAAGCTTTGGAATAATAAAAATATAAATAATAAACTTTTTATATTTTCATATTTATAATTACATATGAAAATAATGTTTCATGCTTTAATATAAATATAAGACAGAAATTTAGAATCAAGATAAAAGAATTTTGAGATAATTAATTAGTATTACATATTTCTAAAGGGATTATGAGAATTAAAAAAGTGTAAGTGAATAATAAAATTATCTTTAATTCAAAAGATTGCAACCCAAAATGATAATTCAGTAATTTGATTCAATAAAATTTATTCAAATTAATCACAAGTATATCATGGTTTTTACAAAAATCTCAATAACAGTTTATAGGAATTAATTTTTTAATTGGCAAGAATTCCTCAGAAAAGGACTCTTAAGTTTAAGTTCATTGCAATCCATCCATAATTACAAGGGTATATAACTACAAGAGACTCAATTAGATTAGATTTGATAGCTATAGAAATAATTTACTCTTTATGATACGTCAATGGTTTTTCATTACGTAATTTTTTAGACATTAGATATTCAAAATTTATTTATATATTATAATCATTTAATGAATCTGCAGATCAATTTATCCTTGTTAGTAATCTTCATTCAATATGTTATGGCAAATTGGAGACTAGTTGATTACAGTTTTACAGAAAAACTCATATCTACTAATAATTGGGAAATGAAAGAATGTTGTTCTAGTGGTTCTTCAAATATAGGGGTTGATATAAATAGTTGTGCTTCAAATTAATTAGAATATGTAAGATTGTCAAAGTTTAAACGATATTTATAAAAATCATTTGCATATAAAAGCTTTTAGGTATAAATAATTTTTGATGCTTTCTTTGATGGTGCAATAAGTGAGAATTCAGAGATTGCAGTTATGTATGATAGTAACAGAAGTTCAGATAATGATAGGCAGCTATTTCTTTTAGATTATGATTAAAATGACTTAAACTAAAATAGTCGTCTAATTTGTCATTCTAGCACAGGAAATTTTAAATTAGAAACTATTGTAAGTAATTAAGTCGATTCATACTCGAATAATTTTTCAATAAAAATTTGTTTTGATCCATATGATCATAGATGTGATGATGATTGTGATAGGGATCATCATTATAGTGATAGTTATTGTGATAATGATTATATATAAATTGGAATTAGAAATATGTTAGTTTATGTTAATACTTGTCACCCAACCTGTTTAACATGTAACGGTCCTACTGAATCAGATTGCCTGACATGTTTTGATAATAAAGTAGTATAAGTTGGAGAGTGTGAATGTATTGCAGAATAATAATTTTCTGAAACTTATATAGGTTGTTTATAAGAATGTAGTAGAGATTATTCAATAGCTCGCTTTGATAAAATTTGTGTAAAAGATACTCGAATAAAATCAAAGTTTACACTATTTGAAGATGATGTTATTCCTCAATCAGATTATAGATATTCTCCTTTTATTTTTGAAAAAGATGAATTTTATCCAAAAAACACAGATTTAATTTAAAATAATTGTAATGGAATCAGTTTTGTAGGAAAATTGTAATTTAGTGAAGGAATGATATATTAAATGAATCTTGAGAATGCTGTAAAGTTTATTAGAATTCGTATTACATTTTATTTGTTTAATTTTTTGGAAACAAGTAGCATTCAAATTATACATAATAATTAATTACAATCTAGAATAACAAAAGGTTCATCTGATTTTTAAGTAGAAAATTTATTAAAAATATTTGAAAAGAATTAAAATTGTGATAGTAGTAGTTATACTTTGTTAAGAATAGAGATGACTTTTTAACTATTTAATACTAATCCAATTATTTTGATTTAAGGATAACTTCAATAAGAAAGTGAATCTTGGGGATTTAGAAATGTTACTGTAGACACAGGATTTTGTTAAGAAAATTGTTTAGTATGTTCTGATTTCGCTACTTGTACATAGTGTGATTCAACATATAAATTATATAAAAATAAATGTGTTCAGTCTTGTCCTATTCATTCATCAAATTGTATTGACTATGAGGATATTATTCCATGTAAATTATTATTGTTTTATTTTTAGATTCTAGATACTTTGCAAAAGGATTTTATGATTTAAATATGACTATAGATGAAATAGATGAATTCTATGATTCTACAACAGATCCAAATCATAGTTTATCAACAAAATAAAAATTTTCATTTTTAAATAATAAAATAGTTTTGGGTGGTTTATTAGTTTGGAATGATGGTTCATATGTTAAAACATGGGTTCTTTCCAAACCTCATTATGCAGCATCTATATATTTTAATTTAACTTATGGTGATGGTTACACTGGATCCTTTTCTTATAAGATTGGTGCTTCTTCAAGTGTTGGATGGTAAGGACCTTTTACTAATCCTGGGGGAGGAATAAATTTAGTTGGTCGTACTGGTCTTGAAAGTACTCGTTATTTCAACGTAAGTTTAACAAACTTTTATACTAACAATCTTTATGTGGAATTTAACTGTGATGTTATTACTGCAAATTTAACAAAGGAATTTTGTGCAATATCTGAATACTTCATTGTTATTCATTATGTATATAATATGTATTATTATAATTTAGTGTCCTCCTCTTTGCTCTAGTTGTACAAGTTTAACTTCATGTTCAGATCCAGGATATACTGGTCCTAATTGTGGGAGTAGTTAATATTTAGATTTTAATTAATAGACTGAAACTTATAGTTGCAAAAATTGTAATTAACCTGGATGCAATACATGTACAAGTTTAGAATAATGCACTTAATGTGTTAATAATTAATTTAATTTGAGTAATGGAGTTTGTTTGTGCAATCCATTTACATTTTTATAAGGAAATACTTGTGTTTAATGTAATAAATTTTGTGAAAATTGTTATGGTGACTCTGAATATAATTGTCTTACTTGTGTAAAAGATCATCATAGAAGTATTCAAAAAAATTAATGTTTATGTTTAATTGGGTATTATGATGACGGAATAAATTTACCATGTCTTCCTATTTGTGGAGATTAAATAATTGTAGGTGAAGAAGAATGTGATGATGGTAATAACAAAGATGATGATGGTTGTGTTGATTGTCAAATAAAATGTTAAATCTAATGTACATTATGTGAAAAAGATATTTGCAAAGAATGTAATG